ACTGAGAACAGGCAAAACTCAGTTCAGGTGGATGCCCCCTGGCATATCATGTGTAAAGCTGGGAGTTGCAGGCAGTCAGGCTACGTCTAGACTGGCATGATTTTCCGCAAATGCTTTTAACGGAAAAGTTTTCCGTTAAAAGCATTTGCGGAAAAGAGCGTCTAGATTGGCACGGATGCTTTTCCGCAAAAGCAAGTGCTTTTGCAGAAAAACTGGCCCGCTGTCTACACTGGCCCTTTTGCGCCAAAGCTTTGCGCAAACGGACTTTTGCCCGAACGGGAGCCGCATAGTATTTCCGCAAGAAGCACTGATTTCAGACAGTAGGAAGTCAGTGTTCTTGTGGAAATTCAAGCGGCCAGTGTAGACAGCTCAGATTTGTTTTGCGCAAAATAGCCCCAATTGCGAAAATGGCGATCGAGGCTTTTTTGCGCAAAAGCGCGTCTAGATTGGCACGGACGCCTTTCTGCAAAAAGTGCTTTTGCGGAAAAACGTACCAGTCTAGACACAGCCTCACTGTTTTAATGGAACAGATGTATTGAGACATACAGGGTCTGAGTCTGATCCCACACCAATTTGTAATTCCACACTGGCTACTCCAGAATTGTTCCTGATCTACCCTGAGTCAGTGAGACCAGAAATGGGCTGAGTGTCTTCTGGTGTGTTTCAGTATTTCAGAGGAAGACGGACTCAGCTTCTAACCTTAAGCTGCTCCCTTCCTCCAGTTTCTGAGGCTTTCGGAGACATGCCTTAATTCTGGCAGGACAGTACTGGGAGAGGAGGGGATGGGGAAGCAGGGCTGCTGCTGCAGTCTTCTCTAGCAACCCTAGAAATTAAATCAAGTCTACTACAAGGATTAGCACTTCTGTTTCTAATCCCCAGCTTTTATCTGGTTTCTCTCCATTTGTGACACTGAAGAATTGTTAGAGAACAATCTTCCTTCTTTTATCTCTTGCAAGTCAGAGGCTATCCATTCCCGCTGGCGTGGCTGGGATTAAGGCTCACTTGTTAAAAGTTGGTTAGACCTTTTACTGTGAAATCTGTGAGTTGTTTAGAGGGTGAAGGGGCAGGTGTCTGAGGTCTGGGAAATGTATGTGATGCATTAACTCATGTCCGGGATCTGCTCTGCCTAGAGGCAAGCAAAATAGCTTCCATTAACAGGCATGTGCTGAAGGAGAATGTGCTCAAGACCTGAGTGGTAATGAGGTAAACCTTAATTGTACTTTTCATTAAGGTACCTGAACAGGTGGTGCCAATGAAAACTGACCTCAAGACTTGGCCAACATGCTACATCCTTATGCAAGCAAATTTCCACTGTCTCCATGAGAAATTTGCCTGAGAAATAACTTGGGCTCTTCAAAAACTCCAAAGCGACTGAAAATGTTACCTCCGAAAATCGGCATAAGGATCTCAAGGTCTGGCCTGTGGAGAGGCTTTTCTGAATTAAAGAGCTACTGGGGTCACCCTAAGCAGTTGCAAAGAGAAGCAGCTCACTAGACAGAGAGGCACTTAAAAAATCAGGGGAATGATTGGACTGGAAGCTGCCAGAATGCTGCTCTGAGGAAGTAAATGGGACCAAAGGGATCAGCTTGGCCATGAGAGAGCCTCAACCATGGAGTTGCTAGGGTTGCCAGATGGTCTCCCAAAAAATACTGGACACCCAGTATTTTTTTGGTCGAGCAAAAAAAAAAGAACACGGGATAAGCAACGATCGCACCCCACCTCCCAGCTGGGATTCCCAGGCTGGGAGGCGGGGCCACGATCGG